GATGGATGGATGGATGGATGGATGGATGGATGGATGGATGGATGGATGGATGGATGGATGGATGGATGGATGGAGAGATGGATGGTTGATTTTTGCCCTGTTTCTCCCTTGTCTTGTTATTTTTATTCCTATTTTCTGTGTTTTTGAGAACTACCAAAAATGTTGGGGGTCAGACAGTTCTTCCAGCATGAGGAAAAACTCAGACAAAAGAGCAAAACAGTCTAAGTTTGAAAAACTCTAAGCTATTCTTTTTTAGAGCCAGCAACTTTCTCCTGTTACAATATCTAACGTAGATTTGTTGAGAGCGGTATGTGTATAAATATGTTTTGCTAAATAGCTGTTGTTCCTACCATAATTAGTTTTAGATCCTCTCGTCATGGATCTTAAATTTGTTTTCTGCTGAGTTTTATGATTATGTTTTATTATTAGGAGTCCCATCGGAGGAAATGTCTTAATAATAAAATAGCTCTATATGTTGTGCTACAAACTAAGATATTTTCCATCAGGCCTGAGTGAACTAATAACAATATGGCTTATTATCAACAGAGTTTATGCGGTGCAGGAGAATTCTATGCACTTTGCGGGAGAACAGTGAGTTGCTCAAATTTATCCACTAGTCAGAAATCTAGTAAACAGCCAATGTCATAAAAAGCAGGGAAAGTTAAGATGAGCAATGTGACTGCTTTGCTTCATTCTTTAGAAAAATAAGGAGAATACACTGCTTGACAAATCAACAAGTACTACTTTCCACAAAGCATCACTGAAGTCCAGCTTCAGAACTTCATACAGCAAAGACCAGAATAATGCATGAAGATAAGAAAAGAGAAAATTGTACAGGACTAATCAACATTCTGCTATTCCTTTGGCATTATACTTGAGTTCCTGAGTGAGTTGGGGGGGGGGTAGGTCTACATATAGCAGAAAACGTGATTTTGTTCAAACCTGGAACAAAATAGCCCCCTAAATATACCACATCAAGACATTTGGAGATCCTTGACAAAAATGGAAATGTGCTTAAACATTCCACTCATAGGAAACAATGGCATTGGGATAGCAATAGCANGCAGAGTTAGCCTGCAACACTCCATTCCAAACACTGCGCCAACCCGGCTCCTAACTTCACTTTAAAAAGTGGAAAAAAAAACAGCTTTTGTTTCACTTTTTTTTGAAATCAGCTAGTCTACAACCTTTCGCTTCCTTTCTGTTCCATCAGCAGTAATTCCATTGTTCAGTCAGCCGTGAAAACAGAAGGAATAGAATGTTATGCATTTTTTTAAAGTCTTCAAAACATAAAATAGATTATTATTTACACTTTAAATAGCAGCTGGCATTGCTTTAAATTCATAGGAGGCCTTAAATCCACCAATGTGAAAGAAACAAATATTCCATTTGGCACCAAAACACAAAATTGATATATTGGCTTAAATTCATTTTTTCCCCATATACCTAGACATCCCCCCTCCAAAAAATAACCCCTATATAATATAATTATTTTATTATTAATAGAATTTTCTGCAATAAGCAATTGAGTGTATAATAAGTGTAAAGAAATGGCTTGATGCAAAGACTAAAATAACTCATGCATGCTGATATCAAATACTAAGAATGCCAACATATTTAAATATCAAATATAAAAACAGTGCTAACAGATACAATTTTTAGACCATTCTTTCTCATCCATGTTTCCTGCTGAGTTTTTCCAGATTCTAATTAACTCTCATATTTATGGGAGTATCTGCACCTATGATGATTTGGACAGCTGGTTTAAAGTCTTTCTCAGTTTGATCTTATTTGCAACTTTGCACCTGTTTTTTGACTAGATAATGTTGTGCATCGTGCTGAATAATTTCATTTTTTTATTAATTCAGAATTTCTTTTGGTCTTTGGGGAATGGAGGATTTTGCCATGCTACTGGACCTTTGATTCTGGACTTTGACAACCCAACATAAAGAGAATTAGAAGGCAATGTAAGGAAAGGTAAATCTGATGGTTATCCAAATACTGCTGAACTCTAGATCCTGGTGTCCTTTATCATTGTCATTCTGGTTGGGACTGCTACGAGTTTTAATTCAAATGGAGTAAAAATTTGCAGAACAGCATGACTGCAGCTGGAATAACAGGCCGGATTCCCCAAACTATCATTGTATTTATCATGCCATCTAAATAGCCAGCTTCAGAGTTTAATAGCAATAAAGGGAGGCTTGATGCTTTATGGTAGATCTTGTCCTGGAGAGTGATAAAATTGCAAGAATATCACACTGTATTGTTTTATTCAAAGGTTATTTGTCTGGAAGGCAAATCGGGCTCAGGCTTGTATCATTAATTATAGCTGCCATTTGAAACCAGCACCCATCGCTTTAATGAGTTTCTGCTTCAGAAAACTTTATACAGAACTTATTTCAACTCTTCCGCCTCCGCTTTAAGAGCTATCCCTTTTTTTTATAACTTCAGTGAACATAGAGCATAATAAGGAAATGGATCTCCATTAGTATCTACATGACTGATTTGATCTAGCAGGGTTGGTGCTAGATCAATGCCATTGACTGGGTCCCTGAGCATGCACATTCTCTGTCACAGTGCCTGCCTCATGAAATTAAGTCCCTCCTGAAATCTGGGTGGTCCTCACCCTGCAGTGGTTTTGGAGGGCCTTGAAGATGTGGCCCTTTGCCAAGGCCTTTTGCAGCTCCCTCTAAGGAGTGGATGGGTATTTGTTACTACCTGGGTTGGTTGGTTGGTTGGTTGGTTGGTTGGTTGGTTGGTTGGTTGGTTGGTTGGTTGGTTGGTTGGTTGGTTAGTTGGTTGTTCAGCTGGGTGGATAGGTGGATAAATGG